TTTATTAGTTATATGAAAAGCAACGACATTCCTTTTGATATTTATAGATGTTTTACGAATTTTTAATCGTGTGAAATGTTTTGAGTGACTGATTTCTTAAAAGTTCTCATGATTGAGTATTTTTAATCGAGTTAAGGACAAACGTTAATAAAACTAAATGGTTTAAGTATTTCAAATCATCTAATATTAAATTGTTGACTTCATTTTTACTTCACTTGTTATTATCACATCGGACTCCTATATTATAAATGTGAAAGTCAGTTTGTTTGTTTGTTATTACAAACACAAACCGACTTTAAAATTTCTTTCACCAATGGAAAGCTACATTATTAGTGAGTAACATTGGCCACCTTTTACTGCGATAACCGACATACACGCGGGTGGAGCCGCGGGGACAAACTTGTATTTTAGTAATTACAGTTAATTATAACATTACTATACAAATACCTCCGTCTGGGCGGACGAAGACGGATTAAGAATAAAGAGTCTGACCACCCCTATTCATCCCGTGGCTGTCGTAAAAGCCGACTAAGGGAGCAAACAACGCAGGATAACAACATTGCAGAGAGAAGTAAAAATTGACACAAACCCTATACAAACCCGTCTGGCCAGCGTAGAATAGTAGGCCAAAACCTCCTTTCTAAGGAGAGGCCTATGTCCAGAAGTGGACTATTAAAGGCTGTGGATGATACAAATACATTTATATGATTTGTTTATATACATTTCAATATTTTTAGTTTTTAGATTTCACTTAAATTTTAAACAAAATTTGTTGCGGTTCATGTATTAGTGCAGTGAATATGAAAAAAATATTAATCTAAATTATTCGATTATGATATATTTAAAATATGCATTTTATCTTTAGCAATGGTAGTGAATTTTATCTGTCGGTCTCGCATATACTAGAGGGCAGCATGCGCCGCCCACTCTCGCGAATTCGACCAAAACTACACTCACACCCCGATATATTTACGCTTTATCCCAAACTTGTCGCCTTGTATAACGACGGGCGCGTCCCTGGCTGGCCGGGGCGAAGGTACCAACTAGCCAGGGTAGATACGAGCGCCGTGCGAGGGTTGATTGAAAGATATTTCGGCTCTTTGAAGTTATTATTTTGTAAATACTCTGTGGAGTCGTTTTATAAGATATTGTTTTATTTTAATTTGTAATTCAAACTCAAACTCATTTATCTTTATTTCATAAAATAATTTAAATTATTTGAAATCGTCTCTTGTGTAGTGTAGTGTAGTCTTGTTTGTACCTACATTAAAGTCATAGATCAACACACACAATAGAAATAATCTCTGTTTTGGTCAAATATTTAGCAAACTAAATTTGTTATATACGTATCGAAAATATCTTAAATACTTGTGCCGATCTACAACCACCCATTTCCAAGGGGTTGAGCCTCATGAGAACCAAGGGCAAACAAACTAAATTAAATTGGTATTTATCATATATGCGATTAGATTATTTAGTAAAATCTTCAGTTGTTTTTCTATGTTTAGTCGACTGTGAGTGATATGAAATAAGATATTGCTTATTATATAACTTTTACATGTGATAATTTTGCCGTATATTAGTTTAAATTATTATAATGTAATCACCTGTACGTATATTAATTTCAGGATGAAAAAAAACGGAATATCCCATTCTTAATACAAAGAAAATCTTCAAGACAGGTCCGAATCTGAAGGGTCTTTGTGTTCGTGAATAAAACATATGGTTCAATTGTGTAACTGACGAATTATAAAAAATCATAATCGTTTGTTTTAAAAGCTACACCAAGTTTTCGTCATCCACAACTTATGCAACGACCTACAAAAGATTTTTTAATTTCTTCATATGCGAGGGATCAAAGTTCTACGTCAACTACTGATAACCATCAGTAGTTATTCCGAATTTAATTGAGGCCGTGTCAGAAAAGAAACGATATAATTGATTCGGTATTGCGTTAGAGAGGTGCTAAGATGGATACAGGAAAATTTAGGAGGAAATTACTAAGACAGCATTTAGGCATCTAAATGTATTTTAATCTACTAGTAGATAATATAACAACAAAATATTTATAATAACGTAATATATACACAATATTACCAGATTAATTATAACATGGTAACTGTGTTAAAAGGGGCTTGTGACTAAGTTAAATAATCCTAGCTAGGTCAGTCTATGGATGGGTGACCATTCTTAACACATTGATGAGACCCCTTCGTGCCGTCGGTCCCAGTTGCCATAGGAAGGTCTCTGGCAATATTTACGCGTAGGTGGAGCCCTAAAAATTCTACTATTCTACAGAACTTCGATATCGCCTAGTACTTGGGTAGTGGAGTTCTGATGGCAGTGGCAGTTGGCGCTCTACGTGAAAAATCGAGGTTCAGCCGTATCGCAGCAGACTTAAAGCCGACCCCAACTAGTTTGGGAAAAAGGCTCGAAGAAAAACCAAATCTATAAGTTATCTTTCTCATTGTCTTATGTTCTATTTATTTCTCTATAATGCTATTTTATTTATTTATTTATTTTTACATGGCATTATCTACCAGTCAACCTTCAGATGGTTGATAAGGGAAATGGCATAGCGGGCTATTAACTCATAATAAAACCGCGCCGGTAGGATTGTTACTATAATTGGCATTCTTGACTAATTAAAATTGGCTCGTAAATGAAATACAACTGACTGTCATGTTTATGCAGAACATAAATTAATTTGCGCACTTGTTTGAATGTAGCTACATGAAAGTGTACATTTATAACTTGGTACTTATAACTATTTGATTTTCATTCAGTGGTAGTAGGTAGGTTATTTTTTTTTTATTTGTTAGTTGCTTGTGAAGCTAAAAAAGTCTATTTCTGGAGTTAGGCACTATTTTAAGTCTCTGATTTTTCTATTGGTATTAAAAATTAATATTTTAACTCTCTTTTTAGATGTAGATATTTATGAAGAAATAGGATATAAAACTAGACAGAGCCTGTACTGTGGTAATCAAACTATTGATAAACATACTTATATATTTCTAATTACATAGGTACATATTTAAGAAAAATTATATCCTGACACAGAACAAATGATGGTGCTAGTGACACAATTTTTGTTCTGTGTGAGAATTGAACCACGACCTCTGGATTACAAGTGAAAATAACTAACTACCAGACCAACGGGTAATTCAAAATATATATAATGAAGTTATGTATCTAGTACATACTACGTACCACTAACATGCGTTCCTGCGTACAGTCTACGAGCTAACAAATTTGTCGGTCAATTTAGAAGGATAATCGAATTGGTTTAGGGTGGTTAAAACTGGCTTTTTCCGGATTTGATCAGTAATTTATCCCATTAGAATAGGCGGGTGGCAGAAAAATCCGGCAGAGGTGTGACTTAACGACTGCGTTAATCAATTCCGGCCCCCATTAATCCCTTATACAATTAGATTTGTGTCAACGTAGCGAGCGATTTTAATATAATACAATCAGATTGAAGTTTTTTTACATAATTTGCGATGACGTGCCGCGGTTAAGGAATTGAATTTGTCATTAAGATTCAAAATTTCACAAAGAGTTTCAAAATTCCTCACTCAATTACACTTAGTAGGTAGATTTTTAATACTAACTTCCGCCCGCTGCTTTCCTCGCGTTACATACTAATAATGTTAGTTTTACGCGAGAGTAATTTTAAAATGAAACTTTTAATACATCGCCTCAATTTTTTTCGTCCATCTATCGCATGTCGCACTACAGCCAAGGCCAATATGGCGGCACTCGCATCAGCTGACCGTGTAGCATTTATATTCTCACTTATTTGTGCAAGTGCTCAACAGTATTTGTGTTCTGATAAGTGTTTTTATGTAAATATTGTTGTTCACTTGATCGTGTTGGACCCAATTTAAATACCCTAAATCGTATAATTTTCCAATTTTTTTTATTTATTTTTATCCCTGGTGATGAATGGAATTGTATGAAATGATGGTCTGATCAACAGTAAGGTTCGATATTTATTTATTACTGATACATTACTGAACGCCTAATGTTTTAGTCTAAAATACAATCATATAGATGTTTCGACTACAAATGAATTGACAAATATGCAGCCTTTTCGACCTTTAAGTAACAAACAAACTAATACATATACATAGACTTGCACTCACAAAGTTTTGCATTTATTAGTGGGATTAGTTCAGAAATATTTTATTATTAACATGATATATACCGAATTTTCTAGAAGTTTGGGTCATTAACAGTCGCCTGAGAGCCATTAATCCAGTTATATTTGGTTTTCAAAGTTGTCATTAAAACTTGTACTAATATTGTAAAACATTGCTGCTGTGAATTTAAGTTGGCTAAAGTATGTTTTCATGATTCTAATGTGCTTTCTTTATTTATCTAGACTAGTCTAAAGTCTCTATATCTTGTAATAATATACTTCTTAATCCCCAATGGAGGCGTCTATGCGTCTATGCCTTTATACGTAATTCTCAAACAGATAAAATATTTTATACAGATCCAATGAGATATAGTACGTTTGAGCGTATTGATACATTTTAACTGCGTTGCAAGCTATAGTGGCTTGTGTCGCCCAAAAGTTCAGCGGCCTTTGGGGCAGTTCACAAGATGGAAGCCCTGTGAATCCGCGAGTACGCGCGCGCTCGTGCATATATGTGTTTGGGCGTACGTGCATGCTTGCGTGCGTGCGTCAGTGTGTGTGTGTATATGTGTGTGTGTGATTGTCGTACGTGCGTGCGCGCATGCGAGTATGCTTACGTCTGGGTGTGTGTGTGTGTTGAAGACAGTCGGCGTGATAACACACTAAGAGTTTTACTGTATTTTCTATTTATAACTGTAACATTTTGCACATTTGAGTTAAATTAATATTCCTTTTTTAGTATGCCCAGAACTAACAAACGAGTACGCGACCCGGAATTGCGCCATCCAAGAATATCGGGATCCTTTGGCGAAGGTCACTCGAGCTGTACCCCAAGTTACCTTCATCTCGTTTAAAAACAATGATATTGCCAGGGAGGGTTGATTTCAAGCAGGCCATTAGTCAGCAAACAAAACCATCTAAAACAAAGGAAAGGTTTTTTTTTTATTTGAACTCTTACTACATGTATTACTTACTTGTTTTAACTTAGAGAAACAAAATATTTTTATTAGCAATCTGTTTTATCTCAGGCGGTATCCTTGGGCAGAATATTAGTCTTATAGATGTGCCGATAAGCCATTTTTAAATTAAACACTATGTGATAAAGAAATAAGCATAAGCTAAACATAATTTTAGGAGTCTTTAAAAATATGGAAACAAACGATAATGAAAGACTATCTGCGTCTCTCGGAAAAAATAAATAACAAAATTTTCCCCTATTTTGTATATTTCTTTGATTTTCGTTTCCTCTATAGCCTTCCTCAATAAATGGGCTATCCAACACTAAGAGAATTTTCAAATCGAACTAGTAGTTCCTAAGATTAGAGCATTCAACCAAACAAACAAACTCTTCAGCTTTATAATATTAGTATAGAATTAACTTAAAAATATTATAAATTCGAAAGTATTCAATTTTTTTTCTCTCTTTCTATGTTTTATCTTATTTACGGGCTGACTTGTAGAATAATACTATATTTTGGTTATACGTAATGTAACGCCTATACACACACAGAACCGTTAAAAGCTTAATTCTCATTCTAATATAGAAAAAGCTATGATCATCATCATCATCAACAGCCTTTACTAGTCCACTGCTGGACATAGGCCTCTCCTTAGGAAGGAGGTAACCTAACCTCCTTCCTAAAGCTATGATACTAATATAAAATATAAAATTATTAAAAATTTCAGGTAAAGAGAAAATAAAACCCAAGTTGACGCAGATCCACTCTAAAATCAACACACTTTAGCCGCCGCATCCCATCGAATATTTGTGCTAAGGTCAGTAAATTAAAAACATACTTCGAGAACCACACATATAGTTGTTTAACCGACACTACTGCATCAAGTGGTAGTAATCGTAGGAGGTCTTCAAAACTGCTTCCCCAAATACCTATGCAGTCTTAACAAGGTCTTAGATAATGAAAATTATTCACAGCCGTGATGGTCAAAACTAAAATCTTGTGCAATATTTTCCGCGACATCTAACAAAATAACTGAACTACTTGGTAATAACTAGTACTACATTGTACAATCAACAAAACCATGGCATTATTTATTTTATATGTTATTTTATGTTTAAAATATTTAAAAAAAGATCCAATATCCACCTAGAGGTTTCATCAGCAGACCAAGCCCAATCTGTTATACCTGTGAAAACTAATCATAAGTGTCAAAATGGTTTATAGCAGCTATCGAAAAATTACACTATTCATTTATTATTATTATTATCTTTATTTCATTCTTTATACATATAAATTACATTTTTAAATATATTTATATGCAAAAACAAAAAAGAAATACATTTAAAAATATAAAAAATAAAAATCAACACACTTTAGCCGCCGCATCCCATCGAATATTTGTGCTAAGCTCAGTAAATTAAAAACATACTTCGAGAACCACACATATAGTTGTTTAACCGACACTACTGCATCAAGTGGTAGTAATCGTAGGAGGTCTTCAAAACTGCTTCCCCAAATACCTATGCAGTCTTAACAAGGTCTTAGATAATGAAAATTATTCACAGCCGTGATGGTCAAAACTAAAATCTTGTGCAATATTTTCCGCGACATCTAACAAAATAACTGAACTACTTGGTAATAACTAGTACTACATTGTACAATCAACAAAACCATGGCATTATTTATTTTATATGTTATTTTATGTTTCAAATATTTAAAAAAAGATCCAATATCCACCTAGAGGTTTCATCAGCAGACCAAGCCCAATCTGTTATACCTGTGAAAACTAATCATAAGTGTCAAAATGGTTTATAGCAGCTATCGAAAAATTACACTATTCATTTATTATTATTATTATCTTTATTTCATTCTTTATACATATAAATTACATTTTTAAATATATTTATATGCAAAAACAAAAAAGAAATACATTTAAAAATATAAAAAATAGTATCCCTTCGGTATCGGGTACAGAGACCAAGATATCGGTGGTTAGGACTCCAGAGACAGAAACTTCCTCACAATACGTGCCGTATCGAGAAGAACTGCTTTCTGCATCAGACCCTTAATCCAACTGCCTAATGCGAGCCTCTGAAGATGTTGGTCGAGGCTCTTAGCAACTAATCCATGGGCTGATATGACTATCGGTACAACGATTGCCGAATCAACATCCCACATGTCGACAATCTCGTGGGCTAAATCCAAATACTTCACTTGTTTATCTTTTTCAGCTTTCAAGAGATTGTCGTCATGTGGAATGGTAATGTCAACAATCATTGCTCGGCGCTCCAATCGGTCTATTACCACTATATCAGGTTTATTGGCAACAATAGTCCTGTCAGTGATAATAGGGCGATCCCAGTTGCACGACCATTTTCAAGAATTGGGTCGGGCACATATTTGTAGTACGGTAACTCTACAGTTATACTTAAGACATGTTTACTTACTTACAAGGTTATACTTAAGAGCAAGTTGCTGATGGGCAATCCTGGCCACTTGGTTATGTCTATGCAAGTACTCGCCGTTGGCAAGACGAGAACAACCGGAAATTATATGTCTAAGGCTTTCACCAGGACAATGACATGCCCGACAAATGTCTATTGTGCCGTCCTTCAGGATATACTTGCGATAATTATTCGTCAATTATTAATTTCCGTTAATTATTTATTATTTTGTTATTATTATTATTATTTTATCAATACTATGCTTCATTTCGATACGAAGATATAGAATTAAGCTTAATACATATTAACTTCCAAGTTTGGTTTACATAGTTAGTTATATGTAAAACTTATGAAATAATTTGAGAAGATTTAAGACTGGAGATACCTCTGCATTCCACAAAATTTTATGACCTGTCTTTTACTGTTGAAGCTGTACGCTTGTGGAATACATCGCGCGAACGCAAACATTAAATAGTTTTTAGAAAATGGTTCAAGAATTTTATGCATCTTAATTAAGTCAGTTAAGTATTAAGGCCGTAATTACGTGTGAATGTTTTTTTCTTTGTATGTGATATACTTAATTAGTTATGTATGTATATTTATGTCTAAGTATGTATATTTATGTCTATGTATGTATATTTATTGGGATGTATAAATATGTGTGTTTAATGTAAATATTTATCTAATTTTACCTCTTTTATATTTATTAATAATTAACCTCACAAAACTCATTGTACCTTTAACTACTACTGTCTCTTCGAAACATTTTGATCGATCCCAAGGTTACCCGGAAGAGATTGCTCTTAGCAATAAGGCCGCCCTTCGTACATTACATGTCTGACATCTTCATATACCATACTACTTGTGAACGGTGAACAAGGTTAAGAGTTTTCTATCTAAAATAAGCGGTTTCTAATGCGTACAGACAACAGAGGGCCAAGTGCGAGTTTATTTCACATCAACTCGCTCTCGACAACGAGCGCGTTCGGCGTTGTGATTGGTTAAGATTTCTGTGCGGGCCAGTCGCAGCGCCGAACACGGTCACTTTGACGATCAGTAGTGTCACTTGCACTTTAATGAGAGAAGTTCATCACCCCCCGCTTCAATTATAACAAAAAATTAATAAATAAAATCCCTAAAAAAAGAGTTTTCATCAATCATCATCATCAATCTTTAGTGGTCCACTGCTGGATATAGGCCTTTTATATAAAGGAGGTGTTGGCCTACTATACCACGCTGGCCAGACGGATTGGTGTAGGGTTTGTTTTTAGTTTTCTTTCTCTCTGCAGTGCTGTTGTCCTTCGTAGTTTGGCTCCGTTAATCTTACGACACCGGGATAAATAGGGGTGGTATCGAAGATTAATCTTCGATATTATTATATTATTTTCATTATAAGAATAGAATCGCGATTCTTTCTGCTTGCAGTTTTAAAAAAAATACATCCTAGTATTTCTGAAACTCAAATTTTTGCTAAACAACTAAACAAAACCAGTATGTAAACTTCAACTGCTATTTAAGAACGTTTAGCTGTTAGAACACGTTATTTTTAGCAGTGGCTATCGCTGTTTGTATAGTTCTTTTTTTGTTTTGCAGGAGTACCCGTGTCTGGTCTATATCCGCAGGCAAATTGAATTAGACAAGGTGTGTATTGGGTGAATAGTTTTACAAGTGTGTCGAAAAGTTATATGCGATATTCGATTATGTACTAAAATAATGTTGATTTGCTTGCTACCTTTATTATTTGAAATGTTAACGGCCTATAAATTTTTATACAGGTTTTTCTATAAAAATGTTTGTTAGTAAGTACGTTCAATAATAGTAATAAACATAAACATTTAATTTAAAACGATTTAAATTCATTTACGATATTACGCCATCTTGAGAGGGTGTGAATTGCAACCCTTCTAAAATTGAACCCCTGCATATTGCATATTAATGAAAAGGGGTCGGTATGAAATCTTAAAACCTAAGTTTTTTTAAATTGAACAACAATAATATTGAGATTAAAATATATATAATTAGGTGCACAGGCTTTTTATTGTACAAACTAAAAATTAACATGTAGGTACAGTGGCAAATAATGTACATGTACAACTACAAGAAAACGAAATGAATAATCAGATATTACCATTAATAGTAATTAAAAATTAAAAAGTTCTTTTAACGTTGGATAGCCTATCGAGGAAGGCTAACATCACTCTACGACCCATAGGAACCGAGCATCAATGACAAATGTTGCAGGAATGGGGGCAAAATTAATCCTTTTAAGAGACGTAGATGACGTTCATAATAATTAGGTTTTCATAATTCTGCAATATTTTTTAACCTGTCGTAACAAGATCAGAAAACAAGATTGAAAATTACAAAACACGTCGGTCTGTCTGTTAATCATTTCATAATTCTGAAAATGTTCTTTAGATAATAATACATAAACTGACGCTATGTTTGATGCCTACTGTTAAATTAATACTTGATTACTCTTCGATTTCAGATTCATTCATTCAAGGTTGTGGTTCTTCGGTGGTCAGGAGCGTATTGCGACACGGAACCAGTAAGCACTGTCAGCTAGCTTCGCTTCGCTTACGCTTGCCTCTACCTATCATCCAGTTTTAGCTGCATTCCATCGATGAGTTGAATAAAACTGAATTTACACACCTCGCATTCCATTCTAATTCAGTCATTACATTATAATATGCTAAACGTTTACCTAATTGACTTTGACTTCCTTGATTCAGTATCTATCATCATCAGCCTATCGCAGTCCACTGCTGGACATATAGCGCGTTAAAATTTAAATTCTCAATTGTTATTCTTATTTATATTAAATATCCATGAGAATCAGATTAAAAATGTGTTGGTTGTGGTGTGTGATCTGACGGAGCGAGCAAAGTTATTCTAGTTGCTATGATAAACGATTTGGTTTTACCATTTGCGTTCACATATTAGTGTAAGTGTAGTCTATACAGATGGCATTTTTTTAAATTGTCTTATTTAAAATTTGTTTGAACAATTCGTACTGAGGTTCTCAAAACAAAAACAGGGAAGTACATGGTGAGTCTCTGTTCGCCGCTGTCTCTATCTCTGTCTCTGTTTTAGAAGCGTATCCAATCACTACTCGAACATAGAACTATGAGTCCCATGCTCACTGAGTTACTACAGTCTCAATTTCGATTCGCAATCCGAGACTTACCATAGCTGTCTCGTCCTGCTAGCTTCTCTTTCTCTGATATATTCCAAACATTAAAAAGGGGCGTTAGCGTCAGTCAGGCGGCCGGACATAAAGGACCTAAACCCTGGGCAATGTATTAAAGGCTAAGGAAGATGGGGCTATTTGCGAACAGTTTACTGCAAAATAAATCTAGTACCTACTTTGCAGAAAACTATCAAGTAACTGTCAAGTCATCATCATCATCTCAAAATCACTGTTAATAATGTTCGTTAATTAATCTCTTCATTACAATGTTTAAATAATTTGTGTCTTTGAAGTCACAAAGTTCAACTTCTAAAACGATATGTACTATAAGTTAGAAATTAATGTAAAAACGTCTACATAAATCTAACAGGGGTCAAGTACGAGTATAAATTTTGATCTTCATTGACCTTTTAACCTACAAAGTAGGACATTCAATTCAATGTTTGAAATTCAACCGCCAGATCTAATATATTATAAACTAACTAATCCACACAATTTCGTCTACGTCTCCCAAACATTTTCGTCGATCTTGCATCATTTTTCTAATCGTTGTAGTATAGTTATAATAATTCCTATGCCTTCCTCGATAGATGGGCTATCCAACACTAGAACCATTTCCAATTTGAACGAGTAGTACCTAACATTAGCGCGTTCAACCAAACAAACAAACATACTTTTCCAAACGAATCCGTTAAGGTTGTATTGTGATTAAATCAATACTACAACATTCTAGAACACTCAAGGCTTTCTGTATTTGATTCAGAATATCGGAGTTACAATTTTTTCAAAATAAATATTCATATATTCATGCTCAATTTTAAACAATGGATTTACAGTGATGTAGGTATTTTATAACTACATTTTTAACATGCACAAAGATTTTTCATTGCTATACAAGTATGTTAAATATTTTAATAGAGAATAAAAAATATATCAAAAATACAAACAGTAGTTTTATTTCTTCTTTGTGACGGTTTCTGCAACCTACAGCTTTGCTTAACGCTTCTTTGACTTTAATTACTACACGAAGATCGTTGTGGAATGCACAGGTTAGTTTTCTGTTTCCATTTTGTATATAAAACAATGTATAATATATAACAATAGCATAATATATAATAATGTTGATGTTATACCAATAGGAGAAGATAATAAGGGATACGTTTGCATGCCTCTCTTCCACAAGAATATATAGGTGGAAACCCATATTCTGCTAAAAAAATCTGTATTACTTTGCACATTGAAATATACTGATATAATATATTTCATATGTAGTAAATTAATTGAGTAACGGTACGTCACGCGTTACGAGATCTTTTGTTTCAATTTTGTACTAGCTTTTGCACGCGGCTCCGTCTACGTGTGTGTCGGTTATCGCTGTAAAAAGTAGCATATGTTAAGCGCTTATGGTGTAGCTTTCCATTAGAGAAAGAATTTTTAAAATCGGTTTAGTGGTTTAGGCGTGAAAGCGTAACAAACAAACAAACGCACTCTCACATTTATAATATAAAGTGTGGATTTTTGTACAGTTATCGCACACAAGTGTTTCCGTATGGTCAGCGATTATTCTTCTCTTTACACACTTGCAACTACACTGATCGGTCAATGGTGACTTGAATAAATGTGTAGGAGTGTTGTTGATATGTAGACAGCATTGGATTAGGTACTTCAGGATGACATCACTTATTTATCAATCGCGTAAAATCTTCGATAACCGTTTACAACACAGAAAAAGTTCTGTGGTTTGCAATCAGTTAAGCTGTTTACTTCTTTTTAATAATTGATAGTAGGGATTTTCTTTGAAAATAAATGTGTTTTCATAAAAATAATGTCATTATTTGATACCTGGTTACACTTAGTCGGTTACGAGGGGTGATCAATAAGTAATGATAATCGAGTATTTCTAGAACGCACAAAAACCCAAATTATTTTTTTTTCTGCTTGCTTAAATATCCACTACTTCAGCTTCAAAAAAATGTATAAATAGGACACCATTACCGGGAGATACATTCATTTGAATACGAACTGTCGAAGAGAAAACATCAAAATGGAGAAAAATGAAATAAGAGCTGTCATCAAGTACCTCTGCCTGAAAAAAATGTCTACCAAAGACATACACAGCGACTTAGAGGAAACATTGGGGGAGTCTGCTCCTCCATATTCCACAGTCGCACGCTTGGCAAAGGAATTTAAGCTGGGCAGAACCTCCACTGAAGATGAACATCGCGAGGGACGCCCTTCCACGTCCCTTACTGAAGAAAACGTCAAAAAAGTGGAAGATATCGTGTTGGCCGATCGAAGGGTAACCGTAAGGCATGTAGCTGAGGTCACAGGGATCTCCTATGGCAGCGTTCAAAAAATCATTGTCAACAAAATGCATATGAAAAAGGTCTCTGCGCGTTGGGTACCGAGAATGTTAACCGACGAGCAAAAAAAGAAACGAGTCGACATTTCGAGGGTGAATCTTCAAAAGTTCCAGGCCGATAAAGAATTTTTTTTGTCGCGTTTTGTGACCATGGACGAGACCTGGATCCACCACTTTGATCCCGAAACCAAACAACAATCAATGACTTGGAAACGAGCTTCCTCACCAACGCCGAAGAAATTCAAAGTGTCAAGTTCAGCGGGAAAGGTTATGGCGTCTGTTTTCTGGGATGCAGAAGGAATTATTATGGTGGAATATTTGGAAAAGGGGGCCACTATATATTCAAATATTACGTTCTTAAAGTATATTTCACGTTCTTACTTGGAATCAGTAATATAGTAACCACGAAAGTCGTGGTAACTTTCGCACAAAAGCGCCACCAAGTAATTTTTTTCGTAACTAAATGTCGTTTGAAAAAAATTCACGCCGGTAACGGCATCTCTTAGCGGACGAGAGAATTTTTCCAACTTCGGTCATAACACTCTGCCACGTGCATTTGTTTTGGTCGGGTTTTTTTTCTCTAAAAAAAAAGAGCATACATAAAGCTCACCTCGGTCGCCTCGTAGGTGTGCAAAGCAAAATGGTCGTCATTTTTTTCTTCTCTTTTCACCCATCTGTCCGTCCTTTTCGGTCAAAAATGCGATCGTTATTTCTGTTCCGCTGCGGGTGTGTGCGTTCATCAGCTGACGTGCTAGATCCGCCATGACTACATCACGCGAATAAATACGTTTCCGTTTAAACGTAAGGACGATTTTCGCTTGTGTTATTTTTCGTCTTACGACTAGTGTTTGGCGGAGAAAAAATAGAAATATACGAGGCACGGCGTGTACGATAAAGAGAGCCGGAGTCGTTAACGATTCTGCGCCGGCAAGTTGCGCAGATTTCGTTTTTGGTGCTTTTTTTTGGGGGCAGCACCTCACACCACGGGGAGTTTTTTATAGCTATCTTTCTCTAGCACGCAGTCTCGCTCCTTGTTTGTGTGTGCGGGTATGTGCGTGTGTGCGGGGGGCAAGCACCTAGTGCTAGATTTTTGCGTGCAAAGTTCCTAGATAGTGTATCGGCGTGTAGGTGCATGTAGACGAGGTATATAATGAGATGTCACGGCTATGTACGTGGTAAATAGAGCTGTGGAACAAAGCGTATGTACGTTGACGCTGATTAATCGCGGTCTTTCATAATTCCGCGCAAAACCTACTCACTGTTAATTGCCTATTCAGTTGGAATATGGAAAGTGTGTGTAGGTTTTTTAAACAAAGAATAGGCAGACGTGATTATGTTTTACTACCGTGCTACGTACCTACAGCTCGAATCGGAGTCGCCTGATAGAGAAAATTTTATAGAGTCGACTGTCTTTTCAGAAGCTAGTGCAGTTTCGTTTGGTGTGTAGATTTGCTAGATCTTAAAGGCGGGATGATAGTTATTTTTATTATTTTTAATAGTCACTAGATAATAGTGACAATTGTTTACACCGGTAACTGGTTTACCTCCAAAGGGACTATTTCTTCTTTACTAATGTAGTTGTATTTAAAAAAAAATTGTAACTCTGGTGGGTGATCTTACATTTCACAAACTAATGTGTGAAAATATTAAAACAGTTTAGGAAAAGCAAACAGGAATCCCCACACAAAACAAAAAGTAGAAAATAATTCTACCAAGTCCGACTACACTCTAAGCTCATGAAATTAAACATTAATAAGGTAAAAAAATAAGAAAAAGAAATATGATAAACTGTAGGTATTTTATAACTACATTTTTAACATGCACAAAGATTTTTCATTGCTATACAAGTATGTTAAATATTTTAATAGAGAATAAAAAATATATCAAAAATACAAACAGTAGTTTTATTTCTTCTTTGTGACGGTTTCTGCAACCTACAGCTTTGCTTAACGCTTCTTTGACTTTAATTACTACACGAAGATCGTTGTGGAATGCACAGGTTAGTTTTCTGTTT